CCAAAAGAAGAGGGCCCAAAGGATCGCTTTGCTACACCCCAGTGGCAGACCATATATGTTGGTCTCCGATATAAAGTCTCGTTGCTTGCTCGTACAAGAAATTCACCCACAAAGAAATAGAAAGGCACATCCTCTTAACCTCGTGGAGCAATGTCGATCTATCCACCAGGTTAAAGGCATTCGAGAAATCCACTCTCAGCATTGCAAGAGACCCATCAGCATGGTGTTCACTCAACACTCTATTGGCACTGTGTAACACAACTTCAGCACCCCCGGACAAACCAACCCCGAACTGAAAATCATTAAGGTACTTGGCCATTTCTTTACCCACACCTTTCATGGAAACCTTGGAAACCAGACGTCTCCATATAGTGCCTACTGTAATTGGTCGGATCCCGTTGTCAGGTTTGAGCAGAGGCGTGAGAGGAGCGGATGCAACAAACTCTGCCAAAATGGCTATAGCAGACCTTTCTCCACAAAAGGCATCCAGGAAGTGTTGAGCCCTCAAGCCATCTCTCCCGCAAGAAGTTCCTTTAGGGAAAGATTTGATGCAACCAAATACACAGTCAGAGTCTACTACAAGGGGAGGTTCAGAAATTATGGGGCTCGGCATGGATGGGGGTGTCCTGAAAGGGTGTTTGTCCTCCAAAGCTTTAATAGTATCACCATTGTATGGTACAACACCTGATCAGCATAACACTTTCACTGCTGCAGTAAAATACCCATCTGCAACCTTACGGATACACTGCCTGATGTTGGTGTTACTTGATGTATACTCCTTCTGAAGGAAGCCTCCACCTTGTCCCATGGCCCCAACCTCGGGATTGTCTAACATATTTTAAACTAACTTCCTGAGAGAAAGCAAGGTGGAAATTATGTGGGATACTCTTAACAGTAGTGATAGGCTCTTTAAAAACACGATCAAGGAGCCCAACATCAAAAACCAAACCTCCAAGAGCATTTTTCATCGAATCTTTAGTAGACGGCTTTAAAATACCGACAATGTAACGACTCGAGTCGTCAGCCCCTGTAACAAAACCTCGCACGACCATCTGGGTGATGACAATAACGGCTAAAAGCATGCAAAGCCATACGCTTCCCACACATCCATTGACCTCATGCTCAGGATTTTCTGCTAACTATCCCTATTGATGGCCTTGGCCAGCATATGTCTCCTGTGGAGTACCGAACTATCCTTCGTTACCGCCTCATGATTCCTCTATTCACAATTGACGAGATATGCGCAGTTTGCCGCAAGGCATGTTTGGACACCTTTGGGGAACATGCGGTTCATTGTAGAGAACTCCCGGGTTTCAAGTACAGACATGATGTGGTTAGGGATGTTCTTTTTGATGCTTGTCGGCGTGCTGGTATTTCTGCGAAGAAAGAAGCGGCAGTGAACTTTTTTACGAACCCGCAGGATGGAAGATCCACACTTAGAACAGCTGACATTTTGGTCTTTGGATGGGTAGGAGGGAAGCACGCGTGTGTGGATCTTACTGGGGTCTCTCCTCTTGTCGGTTTGAGGAGCAGGGGTTTCACAGCAGGGCATGCCGCTTTGAAAGTCGATGCATGCAAAGTGGCAACGCACGAGAATGAATGTATAGAAAATCAACATGTGTTTGTACCTTTTGCATTTGATACATTTGGTTTTCTCGCACCAAAGGCAGTGGAGCTCCTCAATAAAGTCCAACGGGTCATGCATTCTAATGTCATATCTCCTAGATCCACAGATGTTGTTTTTAAAAGAATTAGTGTTGCTATCCAGAAAGGGCTAGCGGTGCAGTTTGTTACCCGTTTGTCTTCCATCGATATGTATTGAACTATATTATTCAATGGAAAAGAAAAAATAATAATAATTATAAAATTACTGATCCAATCTTTTTTTGCTAGTGCCCCTTATATTAGTCCTTGGATATAGGTATGTCCCATTACTTTATATATATATATATATATATATATATATATATATATATATATATAGCAAACAAGATTTAAATAAATCCTTTCTTTCTTGCAAGGATGGTTCTGGTAGGCTGCTGCGTACAGAGAGATTAAGAACCAAAGATATAACTCAAAGATATAACCATTTTCAGCTAATACTTCTACTTATATTGTTTTTGGTTCTTTCCATGGGTTTATATTTACAATTTTATATATATATATATATATATATATATATATATATATATATATATATATATATATATATATATATAATATATATATATATATATATATATATATAGCAAACAAGATTTAAATAAATCCTTTCTTTCTTGCAAGGATGGTTCTGGTAGGCTGGTGCGTACAGAGAGATTAAGAACCAAAGATATAACTCAAAGATATAACCATTTTCAGCTAATACTTCTACTTACATTGTTTTTGGTTCTTTCCATGGGTTTATATTTACAATTACCAGTTTTAATGATGTTTCTTGATTATTTCTACATGTAATTATACGGAACTAGCATAAGTGGCCCAGTTCCAAATGATCTTGGAAATTTGACAAATTTAGTGAGCTTATATCTTTACCTAGATAGTTTTTTAGGGTCAATTCTCATCACATTGGGCAAGTGCTAGAAATAGCAATGTACTTTGCTATTTCTTGCAAAATAAGTAGCTATTTCATGCATTTAGGCCTTGTTTGGTTACAATGCAAGAAATAGCATCATACGTAATTGATTTGACTTGAAAAAATATAAGTTACTTTTTTTTAACTACATAGCTCATTTTATCTCCCCAAGTGTAGGAAACTTGTAGAAAAAGCGTCGACACTGGTTGAGTTGATGCATCTTCAAGTGGTGAAGTTGCAAGGCTTAAAGCCGCCATGGTGATTGTCAAATGAGCACTTAGTCACGGGTTCCTTTTAATGTTGTACATGTTTTGTTTTCTATAAAAAAATATTATGCAATATTAGCAATGTGTTACATTTACTTACAATTGGAATGATTATTTGTATTTTGTATATATTAGTGTAATGATTATTTGTATTTTGCATATATTATGCAATATTAGCAATGTTTTGTTTTCGGTCCTTTTAATTTAGATCTTTTTGTTTATTTTACTAAAAAAAATTTATTCCATTAATTTTAAAAAAAAAAATTATATTTTTACTAAAAAGAGGCAAAAACTTCATGCCTAAACGGAGGGTGTTATGTAAACATAATTTAATAACATCTTGTCTTTAATATGAAGATGAAACATTTCGTCTATAATTCATCCGTAAAACAAATTACTTGCTAAATATGTGTTGCAAATCCGTGACAAATCTATTAGTTATTCATTTGGTTTTGAAGGTCGTAATAAACAATATGATATCGGATTAGCAAAAGCTTCATCCGGCCCTAGATTAGAAAACATGTCGCTAGAATTTGCCATGCTCTTTTATGCGACATATATGGGCTCATCGCTAAAGAGCATCACACACGGCTTATCGACACATCAGTCTATTGCTAAAACTTAATATTCTAGTAGTGTTAGTTGAAGACATTGTTGTGAGAAATCTAAATAGCACTTCTATTGTCACCTAGGATAACCATTGGAAAAGAATGATAAGAGCCCATATAGAAGAGAAGCCATAAAGTCTTGAATTACATCAACAATCAACTATGATGCTAAAATGAGTTGTCAAAGATAGTTTCTTACTTTGTGAGAAAATATAAGATGATAAGAGCAGTGCCGAGAAATAAGCAATATTTTGTAGTATTTCGTAACCAATTTGCTCATCCACATAATCAACATGAGAATACTCATGGAACTCCAAAGTAATGTGTTCAGAAGAATTGGCTCGAAACATGAACAACATATATAGACTAGATCAACAACACAATATAGACTATTCCAACAATGGGGAGAAGATCATAGACATACTTGGCTTAACATGGGTAGGCACATGTGACGTCGAATATTACTTGAAGTCCATGGAAAGTGGTGGCAAGTCGGACAGCCATTTCGTGTTTTTAGCTAAAATGACACGATAACGCACAATAATTTTTATATAACACAGACACAACGCGACACAACGTTGTGTTTTGCTATACTAAGACAAAAACAACCCGATTGAAATACAATAAAAACAACACGAAAATAAAATAAAAAATAAAAACATTTAGTTTATTTAATTCATAAATAATCATACAAAACTCAACAAACACATTTTAATATTTTCTCAATTTCGTTTTCGAGTTTTGAACACTACACGAAACAACGTCGAGTTTTTTACCACCCCCTATTCATGGAAGTAATGGACAAAACAGATCCTTTATCTCAAATCTAGAATGGATAGAACTTTAGATCATGGATTCTAATGGTTTCACTGTCAACGATAATCGTGTCATCCACATATAAAAATAGAATACTAGTGATCAAGAGTCGCAAGAACTAGTAAAGAACCTTAGAGGAAATAATAGCCAAACCAAACTTCTCAAACTAGCTACATGGTGCCTCGTTGAAACCATAGAAAGCCTTTTGTAACCGACAAGATCATTTGGAATAAAATACACCTACGGGAGGTTGCATATAGATTTCTTCACGAAGATAACAATCAAGAAACGCATTCTTGGCATCTATTTGATAGAATTTTCATTAACAAGCAAATGCAATGACAAGTACACTATGGCCAAACATAACCCGAAATACATGAGCAAAAGTCTCCATATTCAATATCATACTCCCGAATCAAACCCTAAGCAATAAGTTGAACTTTACTATTCTTGAAATTTCTTGTGCATAACATCTTATAAAGCAAGGTTAGAAGATGCATCGGTATAGAAAGATTGATCATTATGTATCATTAATGTGGTATAAATACAAGAATGTTAACAGCTTGAAATTGGTGCAATAAAAGATCGAGCACAAAATCAATAAATCGGAAAACAAGCATCATTCACATTAAATCAATACATCATGTTTCAAGAACACCATGCAATATATGAATAGAATGAAATACCTTTTCTGTTTTCAAAATGTAACAATCTAAAACTAGATAGACTAATTTATTCCTCAAGAAAAATCACCAAGTATAACTGTCTAAGTTCTCATATTAATAATAGAACTCAATAGTAGAGTTCATACAAAATTGTACAATTGCATTGCAATTCTTAACAAAACTCCCAAATTATCTTTATTTAATCATTTCTGATCAGTATAAACAGCATCAACATCATCAAGATCAAGTAAATTCGACATAAGTTCCTTGTTTAACTCCATAGCTTCATCATCCACCTGTGATTCACCAACAAATTAGTGTCTCATTGCATCTCCAATTTTGCATAACAATATCTAAAGTATGACCATCAGTGAAATGACTAAAATACCCTTCTATAGATTAATTAGCATATACCTCAATTGGGGTCAAAGGAAGTAGCTCGGATCCATTATCAGGCTCAAAAGCAATTCCCTCCTCACGCAACTTTGATAGTATTTCCATATAATTATCCGAAGAGCTTACAATTTTATAGTATCTAAAAAGTATGAAAATAAATAACTCCATTTAAGAATCAGAATCAGGAATCAATCACAATATATTTAAGGGAAATCTCCATAAAAGTCCTTATATTTTGGCCTCATAATCGATTTAAGTCCTTATATATTTTTTTTATTCAATTAACTCCCAAAAACCGGTAATTGTATTCATTTTGACCCTTTTACCCGGTAAACAGGTCATCCCACTTTCAAAATTTATACTTTTGGCCCAGATTTTAAAATTTTATTACAAATTTGGTCCAACATGGGTGTTTGGCTTAGCTTTTCCCAGCCAAAAGTCCTTTTTGGAAAAGAAAAAAAGCAAAAGATGTTCGGCAAAACTAGTTTTAAAAGCTACTTTTTGAGTTTTGATACAAGGAAAATGAACTTTTTGGAAAAGTCAGAAAACCTGACTTTTTGTAACTTTTCCAAAAAGGACTTTTGGGCTGTGAAAAACTAAGCCAAACACCCCCTTACACTTTTGGCCCAGATTGTAAAATTTTATTACAAATTTGGTCCAAAATTTACACTTTTCACCCAGTTTTTAAAATTATATTACAATTTTGGTCCAAAATTTACACTTTTGGCCCAGTTTCTAAAATTTTATTACAAATTTGGTCCAAAATTTACACTTTTGGCCCAGTTTTTAAAATTTTATTACAAATTTGGTCCAAAATTTACACTTTTGGCCCAGTTTTTAAAATTTTATTACAAATTTGGTTCAAAATTTACACATTTGGCCCAGATTTCAAAACTTTGTTACAAATTTGGTCCAAAATTTACACTTTTGGTCCAGATTTTAAATTTTATTACAAATTTGGTCCAAAATTTACACTTTTGGCCCAAATTTCAAAATTTTGTCATGAGTTCATCCTAAATTTAGTTGTTTTACACCTTTTTTTTTCAAAATTTTGTTTCTTTGATGTATAAAATCATATTCATACAAAAAAAAACATATTTTCACATTAAAAACCTTCTTTTTAATGGAGACTTCCCTATATTTAAACCAAAAGTGAATCTTTAAAGATACCTTTCAGAGTTATCTTCTTCAGAGTCATCATCTTCATCAATGAAAGGTTCAATGACATCATCCGCACCCGAATCCAAAGCAATTGAAAGCAGTGTGTCTTTATCAGCATCTGTAACTTTGATATTAACAACGTGGGCCCGCCTAAATTTAAACATAATAGAACCAGGATCCGCCATCTTGCCACCACAATCCTTCACCACTTCTCTCACAGCCGCCACTGATCTGTTGATTTTATCGGTTGAAACCTCAACTATGATTCCAACTCCACCATAACCATATACCTGAGGTTTAAAAAAAAAAAAGATTAAATTAGATTTTTTTTTTTGGGATAGTATCATAAAAGACCCTATATTTTGGGGTTTTGCTGAATTAAACCTCGACTTTTATCTTTTTCCTGAAAAAGACCTTGTGTTGTTCCATTTTTTTCGATTAATCTTCCGGTTTTAGACAATTTTTTCCGAAAAAAAAAATCAAAAGTTCACTTTTTTCCGAAAAACCCTCATATTTTACAATCTTTTTCAGGGAAAAAAAGTGGTTTAATCTCATAAAAGACCTTATATTTTGTGTTTTTTTCCGGATTAAACCTCAACTTTTTTTTCTTGAAAAAGACCTTACATTTTTTCATTTTTTCCGATCTGGCCCTTTTAGTAATTTTTTTCCAAAAAAAATTGTAAAATGTGGGTTTTTCTGAAATAAAAATAGAAAGACAAATTGAGGGTTTTTTTTGGAAAAAATGAAAAAGTACAAGGTCTTTTTACAGAAAAAAAATAAAGATGAGGTTTAATCACGGAAAAAACACAAAATATAAGGTTTTTTATGAGATTAACCCAAAAAAAGTTGAGGCTTATTTCAGAAAAAAAAAAAAAAAAAAAAAAAAAAAATCTGAAGGTTTTTTTAGGAATATAAAAGTTGAGGGTTTTCTGGGAAAAAAATTGTCTAAACCAGAAGATTATCGGTAAACCTGCTAAAAAGGCCAAACTGGAATAAATAAATAAATGCAATGTCTTTAATTAAGAAATAAAATAAACTTGAGGTTTAACTGATATAAGGGTCTTTTATGATATTAACCTTCTTTTTAAGAATTATGTAATTTGGTTATAATTTAAGAATTACCTCATAGATTTTTTCAATGTATGCTTCTTGGCCTTTATCAGAAGCTCTCTTGATGTTTCTTTCTAGGATTTCTTTAGGAACATCAAGCTCTTTAGCTTTTTCAAGAAGAGCTGCAAGACTTGTATTTGATACTGGATTTGGTCCACCTTTCTTCACTCTGTAATGGGCTTAATTGGTTAAGAACTTCATCAAGAAAGCTATACATGGCTGTTTCTTTTTTACTTAATCTAGACATAATGACTTATTGGCTTAATGTATTAAGACACTAATCAAAATGACACAAATATCAATTATGAAAAAACATAGCAATCATGTAATGTTTTTATTGTGTTTTATTTTTAAAACTACATACTTGATAAAAAGATAATATTTTAAGCTCCACATGAGTGCATGGGTAAAGAATTTTATAAACTTACGCAGATACAACTTCCTTTCCGACTTTTGCATAAAGTTTGGCTTTTTTTGCATCTTGAGCCCCCTGCATTTAGGCCTAATAATGAATGCAGAAACATTATGATTAAGCAATAAAAAACCTTACTTCCACTAACATTATTATCTCTCAGAAGGAAAATTGAATCTAGAACATTAAAGCCCTAAGAAAAATATCAAAACCCTAATAGGACATGGATATAGGATATGCAAAACGGATGCTCAGTAAGAAAAAGATGCAAAATGGGTCAAATCTACGATTTTCCATGTTCAAAATTCATATAGTTTTTGTGATGAATTGAACAGGAGCAAGCTTCTGTTGTTAGTATTCCTTGAAGAACTGAAATTAATTTTGGACGACTTTTATATTTGATTTCGGTAGTGAAATCCCTATAAACAAACAAGCGGAAGCACGTATGAATTCTTACCTTCCTGCCTGCAATTTTGCAGGACCTTCTTCCCATACAGAGAGGCCCACGTGTCCAAATCTTTCTTACAGAATTCAAAGATTGGAACTTAATCGGAGTATCCCATTTTGCACAAGATGAGTACATTGAGGTAGAAGATAGATTCGTGTTTAACCTAACAGCCCCTAAAACCAAAACACGAGATTTCAGGAATGAACAATGACAAATGCATAAAGAAAGTGTCCGTTTTGAGGGAAACCCCTGTTGAATTTTGGAAACAATCAAATGAATGAAATCTTTAAGCATCGTTGGAAATGCGATAAGGGAGAAGGGTTTAACCTTGAATAGGGAAGGAATTGGGGAACCTCAGGGGAGCCGCAGTTGAGAGTCTGTAGAATATTGCACCAAAAGCTCTACCTGATGAACTCATCGGTGCTTAAATTAGCCAGACAGATTTTCAGAGTGGAAGATTATGAAGGTTTGAACTTTGAAGGCTGGAGTAGCCCCGAAGATGGAACATATCGACATTTTTGGGTTCTGCTCAAGTTGTAAAAATTTCAATTTTACATTTTCACCCCCTAAAAGTTTTAAAGCCTTTTTTATTAGCAACTCATGGATGTCAGGAGGACTATAGAACAAACATTAAACAAAAAACTGTTTTATGTTTAATATTTATATTTTATAAACGAAAAATAGGGTTAATCAAAAATTTAACCACATGAGGAGTACACATGTTTGCAGTTTATAAAAACAATCATCAAATATGTCGTAGTTTGGTTCGGAACGATAGATATGTCATATGTGTCTGCTTAAACAATCATCAAATATGTCATAGTTTGATTCCCCTTAACATGATTAGTTTTAAACTGACATCAAAATAACCAAAACACTAAAACCGATGAAAACCACATACAAAAAGATAGAACCCTAATCTGATCACTAGATTACTATTGTTTGCTTAGATTGGTTTTTTGCATAATGGACTCACTTAGATGCTGAAATTTCTTATGCATTTCAATAAATATGCCTTATATCAGTTGTTTACCACATATAATCTTCATCCTTATCTAGAAAATAAGTGAAAGTAATGCCTAAATAGGTTTTTATCACGCAAAAGACTGAAAGCTTCAATACTTTAGTTTCATCTAGTAGAGGGTTGATTTCTATGTATGCATGTGTAAGTGTTAAAGCTTGAGCCACTTGAACGAGACGTTGTTGCTCTTCTTCATAATTTGTCAAGATTGGTTGCCTTGAATGGTTTTTTATTTAAAAATTTGTCCTAAATCCGAAGTCGGGGACTCTATAATCCAAAGTTTATGTCTGAAATGTCTTGTTTCAAAGATCTTGGTCAATTTTTCCAAATGAATGAAAAGGTGATTATTTTAAGAAAATATTCCATTTTATATGGTTGTTTTGTGATTATCCCTAAAATATAATTATATTTTTTTAGAATGGCTAACACACACTTGAACCCTTCAACCTTTGGCCGACAACTCCCAATACCGCTAGTCATGCCCAGCCCGAACGGTGGGCAATAGGGGCGACCGCCCAAGGCCCATTGTTCCAAGGGGCCCGAATTTTTTTATGGATTATGTAATATTACTATATAATCACTAGTCTATTTTTAAGAGGAAAAAGATAAATTGAAGGAAACAAGAAAAGAGCCAAATTCAAAGCCCGAAATTTGATATATTGCTAAAAGTAGGAAGAAGCAATAACATATGTATAGTTATTGTTGTTCATAAAGAAGATGCTACCAAAATGGGGGAAATCGAGTCGACGACTTGTAAACTGACAACCTATGAAGCAATCAAGCAATGATAGAATGGATTAGTCAATTATGTTATCTCGATTAATCCTAATTCTTAACAGTTAGAATCTTATTGCATATAGAATCTTAATAACCATTTTTGTTACTATAGCATCCATAGAAAGCAATTTTTCAAATTTAAAATTATCAAAGAATTACTTAAGGACATCGATGTCACAGAGAAATGTCCAATGGTTTGACTACTTTATGTATCGATAAAGCCGTAAAGGTATGTTAGACAACATTAATCTTGATACTTTTTTTTCGGAACGGAAAAGAAAATTGACTTACTTGGATTCAAACTCCTGACCAACCGGATAGACACACGACACAACCACTAAACAAATGTTTGTTTTTATTCATCTTGATATTATTATTAATGATTTTGTATGTGAAACAAATACATGAAATAGTTTTCTTTAAATTGGTAGATTTGTGTAAAAGTTTTTACTATAGTTATGTATTTGATACGATTATTAATGATTTTATATCTAAAAAAGCTAGAAGAATTATTTTTAATTAGCATATATTTATAAATTGTTTGGCTGTATTTTTGTCTTTGAATGGCCTTTACATATGTTATTCATCAATTCTATCAAGTTTTGGTTTATTTGTTTGGACTTAAATCATTTTTTAACATCTATAAGACTATCGTAATAAACCGAATAAGGTTTGGTTTAATAGGTATTATTAATGTTATTTAGTTGCAGGGCTTAGATACGGTCTACCGGGTAAACTGTTTGAATTTTCAATTCTATATTTTCTTTCTTTTATAAAAGGGATGTGGTATGCACTAAAATGCATATTAATTTGAACCTTAGTGTAGTATTAAAAATACACTTTTATGATAAGATAATTTGCAAAGTAAGTTAGCCACATCTCTTTACAACATTGAGTCATAAACTTCACCAAAAGTTTGTAGGTCTTTCGGTATGTTTTAACGTTAGCAACAGGGTCGGTCCAAAGGGAGTTCAAAGTGTGTGCATGAACAGAACTCATTAAATCATAGGGCCCAAAAAATTGCATATATATTAGCCTAGGTTGAATTTTCGGCCCAAATAAAGTTAGGTTAATTCTTTTTCACTACCAGTCACACAAGAAAGCACGCACGCATCGTATTTACTTCAGAAGTGGGAAAATCAATTGAAACTTGGGGAAGTTAAAAAAAACGGTTCAATTTCTTTGCTGATTATGCAGATATTAATAATGGCTATCGAGTCGTCTCCAATCCTAGAGAGCAACAGTCTCAATCTTTGAATAAAAAATCAGTCAATTATAGAAGTTTGAGGTTTCTACTTTCGATTTATTTCTTCTTTCTTCTTGAAAATCAGAAGCAAAACAATCTTACAACCTTCTTGAAAAATAGTTTTGCGTTCTTACAATCATACAATAGTATATAAAAGGTAATCAAATGGCTTCTTCATGTTATTGGGTTTACCTAAAATAATGAAAAATCAAGTAAAATCGAACCGAAAAAGACTATCATAATTCAGTTGGCCGAATCGAATTACCCCAAACCAAATATTAGAGAACACGACGCATTTAGGGTGGGTTGATTGGTTTTGATTTTTATGACACCCCTACTCAACCCCCTAACCCAACCCAAGATATATAAATGTTATTAGAGAAATTAATCTTCTATGATCCCAAATTTCAATTTTTTTGATTACTTCATCAGCAACTTAACCCCCGTCCCAACCTTATATGGAAAAAATTACAATCAATAATTGGTTTTATTCCATTTAAAACTATACGAACTAGTTGCATGCCCGGGTATTTAGATTTCTATTGTAAAAAGTGCAAATCGGTTCAACCCTTTCATTAAATAACAAAACCCATAATTTACATTTGGACAAAATAGAAATTAAAACTATCTATAATCATATTTTTCTATACAATTAGAATATGAAAAGATATTAGTCAAGACATTCATTTGTAATGCCAAATGGTTAAAATTCATACACATTATAACAACTCTATTCATTGCAAAAAACTTCTTTATACATCAAAATATTTGATGTGTATATTATTATTGCAAAAAAACTTTTTTATAACTAAATTTTGACGGTAGACTACTGTCATGATTGAATCTTTTTAGGTTTCGCTAATACATTTGTAATGCCATTCAATATCTATTAATTTAGATAACATGCATCACATAAAGTTGGTCATGTGATGCAGTCGATAAACACATTGATCCATCTTCCAAACATATTTTATACAAACAAATTTGGAATAATTGTCATCTAATGCATACTTATTCGTCTTTCTGTGATGATTTTTCCAACAAAGTCTAGAACTAATTTATTTATATTTGAAGGACTTAAAGTATTGAGGGTTAGTTCATTCATCTGTAGAATTCATAGTTTTTTTTTTCAACAGCAAGAAAGTTTTCACTCCAAGGATAAAGCTAGCCAGAAGCCACACGATTACAAGACATTACAAGACATTAAGACATTCAACCGTAGAATTCCCATTTATTTTTCATTTTGCAACAATATTTGACATCCTATGATCTTTTAATTCAACTCAATAAGTACCATTGTTGCTTCCTGGCCTTTAAACAAAAAATAAAAATTAACTTCCATATTTTACAAACTTTTTCATTATCAAATGAATATGCAAGAAATAGCTATATATAGGGGCGTAGTGGTGCACAAAAAAACCGGTTTGGGAACCGAACCGCCTTATAAACCGGTTCGACATGAACCGATTCAAGAAGAACCGAACCACCGGTTTGGACAGGTTCGAGATTATGGACCGGTTTAGTGGGAACCGATTTAGAACCGGTTTAGTGGGAACCGGTTAGAACCGTCATCATCACAGCTCCTCATCGCCATCGAACACCACCACCACCATCATCACCTGCTTTCACCATCGCCATATATAAACCAGCATTGCTATCGCAGCTTCTCTGAGCACCACCTCCTCCCATGTTTGCTTTGTTTGCTTTCATCGGGCAAAGAACTCCAAAAGTAAAAGAACCTTCAAATATATATTAATATTTTTTCTGCAGGAAGGTAACTTCAAATATATATTAATATATATGTATTGTACGATGGAGAGACGCATTGCACTAATAAACAAAAGCATGATGGACACATGCATGATGCATGGGAACTAACAAACAAAAGCATTCAGGTACTTTTCTGCCGGAAACCTCCATTTTTGTTTGCTGTCAAACTGCTATGTCCATTTTATTTAAAGGGAAAACTGTAATAAAGTCCCTATATATTGGCCTCATAATCGATTTAGTCCCTATATATTTTTTTTATTCAATTAAGTCCCAAATACCGGTAATCGTATTCAATTTAACCATTTGACCCGGTCAACAGGTCATCCAACTTTCAAAAATTACATTTTTGGCCCAGATTTCAAATTTTATTACAAATTCGGTCCATAATTTACACTTTTGGCCCAGATTTTAAATTTTGTTACAAATTTAGTCCAAACTTTACCCTTTTTGCCCAAATTTTAGAATTTTATTATGAATTCCTCCTAACTTTAGTTTTTTTACAAATTTCTTTCTCAAAAAGTTGTTTCTAATATGTTTTTTCTTTATAAAATCATATTTATAAAAAAAACATATTTTCACATAAAAATCTTATATTTTCTATATAAAAACGTTTTTTAAAAAGCTTTTTGTATATGAAATATTTAGTAATAAAAATATGTATTTATTAAGTATATAAATATATACAAATCCGTTTTTATAAAAAAAATGTATATAAAAAACGTATTTTACAAAA